CAGCATCCTGTGTAGTTGATGATTACAGGCACCTGCCACCATGCCTGGTTAATTTTTTGTATTTTAGTAGAGACAGGGTTTCACTATGTTGGCCATGCTGGTTTCAAACTACTGACCTCAGGTGATCCGCCCACCTCGGCCTCCCAAAGTGCTGGGCTTACAGGCGTGAGCCACTGTGACCAGCCTCAAAAGCTCCTTCTTCGGCTTAAACCGATGGGACTTCACTCACTGGCACTTAAACAGTGGGGAAGAAATGCTAGGAATGCCAAAGAGAGACCACTTTCTTTTTTATTTTTGAGATGAAGTCTTGTTCTGACTCCAGGCTGGAGTGCAATGACGCAATCTTGGCTCACTGCAACCTCTGCCTCCTGGGTTCAAGCGATTCTCCTGCCTCGGCCTCCTGAGTAGCTGGGACTTTAGGTGTGCGCCACCATGGCTGGCTAATTTTTGTATTTTTAGTAGAGAGGGGGTTTCACCGTGTTGGCCAGGATGGAGTGAAACCACTTTCCTCACTCCAAAACTGTGCGGGGAACAGACTGCACAAAAAGTAAAACTCAGAAAAACTCCGTGGCCTCCTGACTAGCTGTTTTCAGTCAGGTACCTCTTGCCCCCAGTAGCATTTCAAGGACTGAGAACACCCTGAAGAAAAACCCAGGATTCTGAAATACATCAACTTCATCAACTGTACTCACTCATACCAATTTTTTGTCTTTTCAATTAATGTTGGTCCAGCAACACAATCACTAGACACACATGAAGTCAGGGAAAATATGTAACTTACCCTTCATTCCCCTAAGGAATTCAGAGTATGGTCACACTTACAAATGGATCAGATACACTCAGTATAGTATCTGGTGTCACTAGTGTTTTTACCACAAAAACTGACAAGTAACTGAGGTTACAGATATTTAATTAGCTTGATTTAACCATCCTATATTATATACCATAACATTATACCATATCCCACAAATATATACAGTTATAGTTCACCAATTTAAAATATATATATTTTTTGAGAGGCAGTCTCACACTGTTGCCCAGGCTGGAGTAAAATTGAGTAATCTCGGCTCACTGCAACCTCTGCCTCCCAGATTCAAGTGATTCTTGTGCCTCAGCCTCCCAAGTACCTGGGATTACAGGTGCACGCCACCATGCCTGGCTAATTTTTGTATTTTCAGTAGAGACGGGGATTTACCATGTTGGCCAGGCTGGTCTCAAACTCCTGACTTCTGATGATTCGCCTATGTTGGCCTCTCAAAGTGCTGGGATTACAGGTGTGAGCCACTGCACATGGCCGCCAAATACTTTTTTATGTACTTTATAAATATTAATCATTCAGTCCTCCTAACATCCCTATCAGGTAGATAACATTATTGTCCCTGCCACTAAATTAGTGACAGAATGTAAAGAATAATGGATAAAGCAAATTAAAAAAAAAAAAAAAGGAAAAGGAAGGTAGAAAAAATAATTGGTGTCACTGTTCGTTAGACCCTTTCTTCTTCTACATGGTTCTCAATCCTTAGGGTCTAATTATTTCCCATTTGCTATTTATCACAGGTTTTGACAAGCAATTCCCCGTCCTAGAGAACCTTGTTAGTGTTTTGCCCTTTCTTTCCTCTAATTTGAACTCCTTTGTCACCAAAGTAAATATTGGTGTATATATTTCTACAGACTATGCATGAGGAGACATATACACACATTATGCAGGGTTTTGCCCCTCTTTCCTTTTCTCGTTTCTTCTTTTACTACTTTCCTTTATCTTTTTTTTTTTTTACAAAAATGTATCTCATCACATACATTCTAAAAGTGAAATTTCAACTTAAAATATAATCTAAATAAATTTCAGGATATACATCTAAACAATTCCTTGCAATATCTATAATATAGTTGAAAACATTGTTGTAATATAATTTAACTGTTCACCTATGATTCATCACTTCATTTCCAATATTCTGTTTTTTAAGGCGACTCTGGGCATTTTTCGGTATCTGGCAATGGTAAACTAGGTTTTTCAGGCCAGATGTCAACCAAAACGAACAAGGCACTGGAGACCTGCCAAGGCAGTTAAGACTAGAAGGGTCTAGATCCCAGTAACCCTACTTAAGATCCCTTTTCTACTCAAGAATTTTTCAGTTTCAATCTGCAGCTAGAGCACTAACAAGATGAGGAGAGTATGTATTCAGCAACGTCAGTTACTACAGAGAGAAAATAAAATGACGTATATGTATGCACTTAGTAAAAATCAAGCACAATTGAAATAAGTTATATACATATACATGTGTATATCATCATGGTTACTGCCTCTAAAAACTAAGCAACGCACTTTTTCCTCTGGGGAAAAAAACAGTTCATTAAAAGCATAAATGATAACTACAATGGAAAAAATTGTTTAGCAAATATATTTTAGATACTAAAAACCAGAAGCTACAAAGTATCACGGACATATTTCAAGTCTGATGCTAGGGAGCTGACTTTTAACCCTGGCAGGAACAATAATTAATTCTAGGAATTTTAATCAGTCATGTAAATGTTCTTTGCCTCAATTTCCTTTCCTTTAAAGTAAGAATGTTAGATGAAACATTCTCTAAGGGTCCTCTTTCCCCGACTTTCATTAAGTATCTCTGAGCACAGGGCTTCCATTTCAGTAGGAATGCCTGCCATCAACAGCTTGAATGGAAAACGCAGCAACAAATAATTTGTATCTGAAGAAACTGTACCTGTAACTGACCAAACTGAAGACTCTAAAACCCCTAGACTCTACCTGGTTGACCTTTAAGGATGCTTGGCTCTGTCTGTGCCTTCCCTCTTTGTTTCTGAGTTAAGCATCTTGCTGTGCAGTTGATTCATTCCGTGTTAACACTCTGCTCTGAATCTGCCCTGCACGTATCTCTTTGCAGATCCCAGTGGGTCCAGCAGAAGAGACCAGCATTTTTTAAATGTCTACTGGAGCTTTCCAATGATTCTGGGCACTCTGGCCTAAACATTTATCCATTCTTGTAGTCTATAGGCATGAAGGAGAAATTATTTAGGCAGACAGTAAGGGTACAGGGGCCCTTTTAATGAAAAGCAGCCCCCAAATCATTTCCTTGCCTAAAGAGCGGCCTGCAAAATGAAGCTGCAGACATAGACAAGCTGGAAGCTAGCACAGGTGAATGCCAGCAGTTGTGCCAATGAGAAAAGGCCACCTGGGACTAGGCATGTTCAAAATGGCGGCTCCATGTTCCCTTCTCCTTGCCAGCCACATGTACAGTAAGGGGCAGGCAACATGGCACCAGCCAAGTGGTAAGGCCATTTGCACAAGATGCGGGGCTGGGTGGCCAGCCTTCCTGGCATCCTATGTAAATGTCATACCTGGTCCAACCAATCTTTGGGCCCTATGCAAATCAGACACCACTTTCTCAAGCCTGCCTAAAAAATCTGGTACACTCTGGCAGAGGCCAGATTTCCCATTTGGGTGCGTGCATGCATGCATGCGCTCTCTCGCTCTCTCTCTCTCTCTCTCTCTCAAGAGAGAGAGCTGTTCTCCTTTCTCTTTCTTTTGCCTATTAAACCTCTGCTCCTAAACTCTCTTCTCATGTGTGTATGTTCTTAATCTTCTTGGTGCAAGACAACAAATCCCAGGAATTTATCCCCGACAATGACTTTGCTCCATTATCTTTTCTTTGATCACTTTTTTCTCCTAGTAGTTACGTATTTTTTCCTTAATATATTCTGCAGTTAATGCACAGTTGCTACATTCATGTTCTGATACTGTTAACACCCTCATAATTATTTTTGTGTTTTGATTATAACAGTCTCCATTTCTATCTTATTCTGCCACCCAGCAATCAAGCAGTGCCAAAGAACTCGCTGTGACTCAAATGTTTCTCCTCCACTATCTTAAACCCTACACATTTTGCTCTGGGACTTAAAATTACCCTCTCTGATCACAGCCGTTTCTCTTCTCTGTTCATTCAATTCCTGATTGTGTCTTTATCATGCAAAAGTTGCAGAATTATTTTGTCTGGACAATGGTATTTTTTTTGGGTGGATTTTAAACATTCGTCCATTCATTCATTCAACAATACTAAACACCTATGGGTTCCAGATGGTATGGTAGATCCAGAGAAAACAAAGATCAATGAAACCATGCCCCTACCTTCAAGAAGTTCATTACTAATGAAGGAAACTCAGGGGAAAACTAAGTAACATAAGAGGCATTAGCGATAAAGAAGGGCAAATAATAAAATACTATGCAAACAGATGGAGGAGCAGTAGATTCATCTGGGTGTCACTGAGTCAATCTATGGCACTAGAGAGTTCTAACAATTACGTTTGAACTAGAGAGTTTTAACAAGTTCAAATCACTGATTTGATACGGATAAGTCTCCACAATACCAAAATACAACTAACATCTTGTTAGAGATGTGTGTATCGGGTTGACTGCCTGTAAATATTTTACTATTACAGAGATCATTTATTAGTATTTACTAAATTTCCTTTAAATAAAATATTATGCTACAGAATTTAGAAAACCAGTTTTCTCCCCAATCTGTCCAAATAATCTTTTGAATACAGGGAAAACAATAAGAACTCCGAACTGATCTTTTTATTTGTAGAATAGACTAGCAGTCAAGAATCTGAAACAGAATGAGAATTCTGGCTCTTTAGTGTTTTTCAGGGCTTTTATATATGGGCTTTTAAAAATATAAATGGACATGATATTGTTAGATGACTATTCAGAAATGACTAATGAAAATACTAATGCTTTTTTCAATAAATAAAAACACTTAACCTAATATAAAAGGAAAAGACTTATATTACACCAAGCATTAGAGTTTTTTGTTTTTGTTTTTTAGAGCTGGGGTCTCAGTATGTTGTCCATGTTGGAGTGCAGTGACCGTAGTGTACCACAGCCTCAAACCTCTGGCCTCCAGTGACCCTCCTACCTCGGTCTCCTGAGTATCTGGGACTAGGCACATGCCACCACACCCCACTCAAAGTTTTTTTTTTTCTTAAAGGACATGAAGCAAAGAAAAACAGCAGTGATCTATCACAACATGGAGAAAACTAGAAAACATACCAGAAGAAGCTTCCAGCCTTTCCAATCTGCTGATCAACCAGTCGAGGGAGCCAGAAAATTGAGCACAGTTTTTACGATTTCCTCTAATTAGAGCCGCTGCAAAAAAAGAAATAGAGTTCACCTTTATGTGATTTTTTGGCCCAAAAATTAACGTAGGCTAATAGTGGCCCTACAATATTGTATCAAGAACAAAGTATCTTCATGTTACATCTAAAACTTATGCAACATATATACACATACATATACAACACTGAGATATTAAAAGACAGATTAATGATTATTAATTGAGACGGAAGAAAACCACTGTTCATTAGAAGAAATGTAATTTCAGAAAGTAAATTTCACATTGGGAGGTAATAATGAAGGGTAATGAAAAAACCAGTCTCCTGGGAGTTCCCTCACTTGGGTTCTAATATCCATTGCTTTTAATTAGCCATGAGATTAAATTATTCTGTCTCTCTCAAGCCCAATTTTCTTACTTATATAAGGAAGAAGCTAAAAGCAAATCAGTTTTCCTGAAAATGCACTACAAAATACTAGGAGACATAAATAGTAATTATAACTCTAACAGGTATATAGAGAAATAGAACTAAATGTCACACTAAATAATGGATGGGAAGACCAGTAGTCACTAACTTTGAAACACTTTTATTTTCTTATATTGTTTCTTTGGATCTGGAGATTCACAATTCATAATAAAGACCTGAAAATCTGCAGCAAAGAAATGAATTCTAACTTGGCTTAGACTATTGTTTTCTATACTTCTTTGATTGAAGAACTCATCTTAAATAAAATTCCTATGTGACTTTTCTGATCAATTTCAGCCTAGTTTATACACTCAATTTTAAATTTTTATCAAAAACATTAAATTATTTCAAAACAAGTCTGATAAATATTTTTCTACCTTTATACCCCTAAGTTTACTGAGAAACAGTATAATTGCTTCCAAAGGGATAGCAAGATTTTTAGACAATATGATATTTAAAGAGAGAAAGATATCTCTGTAAGAATAATCATTATTGAAAATCTGGCAGGCCGGGCATGGTGGCTCACCCTTGTAATTCCAGCACTTTGGGAGGCTAAGGCAGGCAGATCAGGAGTTTGAGACCAGCCTGGCTGACATAGTGAAACCCTGTCTCTACTAAAATTATAAAAAATTAGCTGGGCATGGTGGCAGGCGCCTGTGATCCCAGCTAATTGGGAGGCTGAGGCAGGAGAATAGCTTGAATTTGGGAGGTGGAAGTTGCAGTGAGCTGAGACTGTGCCACTGCACTCCAGCCTGGGCAACAATGGGAGATTCTGTCTCAAAAAAATAAAAAAGAAAATCTAGTAGCTGAAGCTTGAGGCTACTGACTGTTAACCTCCTTGTTAAGAAAAGGAGGGACAAGGCCCTACAGTGACAGTGTACAATTAAAGACGTCCTTCACATTTCCTCTTTCCAAAAATAAAGAAATAAAGTTATTACCTGACCGGAGAGTAAGAAAAGAAACACACAGAAACACGACATCTGCAGGAGCAGAGCTTTTATGTGTATAGAGCCTCCGTGACAAAGGTAGGGAGATGAAGAGCTAATCACTCAATTTCTCAGGCTCTCTCTGACCCTGGGTCCAGCAGCCTCCCTAAGGGCCAGATTTACTCACACACTGCAGAGTACAGGGGACAAGAGACAGGGGTGGAATATAGCAGAGGAATGAGAGACACTACGGCTAAGCAGAACTTCTCATTTTAACCTCTAAGAATAACTGTTCCCAATTTAGAACAACAGCAATTGGGAAAAAGAACGTGATAAAGTTTTTGAATTTTTAGAGTCTCTTTTGTTTAAAACTTAACTCGTGCTTTTCACTTTATTTCTGATTTTGTAAAACTAATTATATATATATATATATTATATGTGTAATTATATATGGCTATCTAAAATTGTATATAGTAGCTATCTATTGTATTATTTAAAATTATATCTATATCATATATAACATATATATCATTGTCATATTAGCTATCTAAAATTATATTGATGATATATATATATAAAACATAAGTGACTCTTGAAAGAAACTAATAGTATAAGAATGAACTCTTTTAATAACCGATGGGACCTTTAAGAGAATTACAGAGTAAGCCACAAAGATAATTTCATTAAATTTACTGCAAACAGACTTGGTATAAACCATGTTCTTGGACAGAACTATGTTAGAATTTAGTAAGAAAAGCAGAAACAAACAAAAAAAACCAAAGCATATAAAAATATAAACTCTCTCCTTAATAACTCTTGGGTAAATAAGGGAATCAATATCATATTATAAAATAATAAATATCAAAAATTAGAATACTACCTAACACAACCAATGGTAAGTGACCAAAAGTATACTCAAGGCAAAATCAATTAAACACTTTAATTTTTAAGCAATTGGGTGAAAAATGGTAAATACTCCTTTTGAAACAGAGGAAAAGAACATCAAATAAACATCAGTAAAATGGAAAAACTATAAATAGCAATAAAAGTAGAAACTAATACATTAGAAATAGAAGTAATTTATATAACAGTAAGAATGATCAAGAATACATTCAAGGACTATTTTTAAAATATAAGCTAACTACCAACTACTACTTTAATCAAAAAGTAAAGAACAAAAGGACAAAATTAAGAAAAGGGCATTAAAGCAGGCATGGTGGCTCATGCCTGTAATCCCAGCACCTTCAGAGCCAAGGTGAGAGGATCACTTGAGCCCAGGAGTTTATGACCAGACGGGGCAACATAGCATGACCCAATCAGTACCAAACATTTTTAAAATTTGCCAGGCATGATGGTACATGCCTGTGGCCCCAGCTACTTGGGAGGCTGCTTAAGCCTGGAAGGTCAAGGAGGGAAGACTGCTTAAGCCTCAAAGGTCAAAACTGCCGTGAGCCAGGATCTCACCACTGCACTCCACCCTGGGTGACAGAGTGAGACCCTATCTCAAAAAAAAAAAAAAAAATTATAAACACAACCATTTTATACATCTTTACACTATAACCTTGAACATCTGGTAAAAAGAATGGTCTCAAGATACAGATACATAGATATATAGATATGTATTTTTTGTCACTAAAATTGACCCAATAGAAGGGAGAATATTTGAATAGAATAAAAAATCATGAGTAATATTGAGAAGTATGTCAAAGACCAAAACCTTTTCATACAAATTCAATAAATAAGTCATTTTTACAGTATTTCACGTGCTGCATATTAATGTTTTTGTCAACAATGAAACAGATAAAATGATCATCCCTTAAGATCATAACACTGTACTTTTACTGTACCTTTTCTATGCTAAGATGCACGAACACCAGTGTGCTACAATTGCTTACAGTATTCAGTATGGTAATATGCTGCATGTACACAGTAGTGTTCATCTCCTAAGGCCTGATGAAGGTTTATAGTTACTGCCAAGGATATAGGCCCACAATGTAGAATTAATTGAAAACATCTGATATAAAACATTGATAGTATGATTGATAGTATGATTCCATTTTTGTAAAATAAATGCATACACTGAATGCATTTCTACATGCACAGCATGGAGAAAACTGTGTTTTTTAGAATATTTCTTGGAGAACGAGGACTAATATTTTGGGGAAAAAATATCTGGATAAGGGCCTGAGAAAAAAACAGAGACCATAAGGAAGATTAATATTAGTGGGACTGCTTCCCCAGGTCAAAAAGTACATATTCTTATTCCAAAATAAAGTGGAAGAAGAATGGATCCAGGAGGGGAACAAAGGGGCCATGTCCTGCAGTATGATCCTTCACAGTGACCCTTTGAACCTGTGATAAATTCTGTCAAAAGAAATCACAAATGCTCAATTAGAATGGAAGTTAGGATGTGAAGAGGTAATGTTCTGTGATCACAATTTTACTCTTAGAGAAAAAAACGGATGACAATAAAAAAGCATGGAACTCTGAAAACATGTAACCAAATAAACCTCTAAAACATACCAATGTCAAAGGAAAGCCTTTTGACTATCTTAGTCCATGAACACGGAACTTGGAGCAAGACGAGCCAATCGTCAAGGGGAGGAGGGAATAGGCGATGTCTTGGTGCGAAGATACGCACAGATAACGCACATACAATGTTATTCTGCATGTATGTGTGCAGCTGTGCAAAACGTTTTGTATGTCTATAATGTGATAAAGATTTAAAGGAACATTATGAAGTTATAGATTAAAATGGGTGCTTAAGTTTAAGAGTAGTTTTTACCTTTGTAATTTTTCTTATTTCTTTCCTTATCTACAGTGTATGGATTTTAATACCAAATAGTACAACAAAGTTAATGTCTTTCCAAAAATAAAACGGAGCACCATGCCATCCGTATCTGTAGTGGCTCTCCTTATGAGACGTCTCAGAGCACCACCAGCATCTCCAAAGTGCAATGGCAACTCTGTATCGTGTCAAGGCACGAAAACGAATTCAAGACAAATCTCCTCCCCTAAAACTTGACAATACTCTTTAATTGCTGCCTAATTAACAACTAAGTTAAGACCTTTCATCTTCCATAAAGATCTTTTTCTCATATATTTCAGAAATATCCATGTGACTGTGTCAGTCACTACAGCTGGCCCTGTGAATACGAGCTCAAATGAAATGTGAATAAATACAATACGATGACTTACAGGTCTTCTTCTGTTATATTTTAAGCTACTTTATATACGATACTCTCTTTTATTACATTTGATATGGTGCCTGAAACTTAGTAGGTATAGTATTTCTTAACATAACTGAATGATAGTGCCCAATCTCCTATAAAATATCAGTGGTTAAATAACTGCAGTCCAAATTAAATAATATAAAAATACTTAGAACTAAGCTCTTACAAAGGAAATGCTAATTCACCAAACCAATTTTATTCATGTTAAATAACTAATTCCCTATAGTTTTATCCAATCTGAATAGGAACGGCATGCAATATTCCAATTAATAAAAAATTTTGAAAATAAATACACTATGCTGCATTTATTTACTTTTTAACAATTTAGTTTCACTGTGATAAGAACATTTAACATGAGATCTATCCTTTTAACAAAATGTAAAGT